GTGCCGCTCAGGGCTCTGCAGCTCCGTGAACGCGGGGGCCCCTGAAGGCTTTTCCTTTTCCTTTTTTATACCTGCCACCCCCCTTTTTGGGAGTCCGCAGCAGTTTTATTTTGTTCCACAGATGTGAAAATGGAGTCCTTCCGGATTTTTTTTTCTTTGTTTTTCTCTTTTCAGAATAAGCTATTTCCCCCCCCCCACTCAACCCCACTCCTACACCACTTTTCAGTGGACCTGTTCCCATCGCCCCGTCCACTGAGTATCCTGCAGTCTTTATGGTCTGGGACAAGAGAGAAAGGGAGGACATGCCTTCTTCCCAAATTCCTGCGTGACAAAACAACGCCAAAGAGCTGAGAAGAGGTTAAATAGAACGCTGCCTCTCTTTTTTTTTTGGTCCCCTGGCGTAGAAAGCTGAGCAGAAGTGAAAGAGAGCACAGACTTTTCCAGACTCGATTTGTTGTTTTTTTTTAATGGATTCTCTTCCCAAACCCTTTTCCTTTTTGGTTTTTGTGTGTTTGGCTGAACAGAGAACGTGGCTCTTCTCTTTTCCCAGGGGAGGAAAAAATTGCTCTGCTTTCTTCCCAGCTCCTGGCTGTGACAAGCTTCCTCAAAGGTGGAATCATATATTTTCTGTGCTTGTTGTAAATCTGGATTTTGACAGTGTCTCGTCAAGGATGCAGAAGGTGAATGGAAAAGGCACGCTTGTCCAGTGTCCACGGAATCTGACGTTTTCCAGTCCCTTCTCGTTCACGGGTTGCGCCTTCCCTCGGCTTCCTCTCGACCATGTTTGGGAAAGAAGGGTGCGCAGGAAACATTCGGATTTCACAGTCTGATGGAAGGGTGATCCCGTGGTGGAAGAAAGAACTCGGTCTCTTGCAAGAAATAAGCTATGCACTGGGACGAGCTTTGTGTTTTGCCGTACAGCCGGAACGGATTTGCATTAATAGACTCATTTTGTGACTACACAGAGGAACACTTCAGCTTCCAAATGCGCAACCCTAGAGTCAAACTGGACATGTTGGTGAGAAATCAGGACATGGATCTGTGCTACAGAGTTTGTTTTTGATGCTGGATTTGGGTGGCAGCTGGAAAATCGCAGTACCAAAACGCTCTGGCACCCGACCCTCCGCTCTGGCTGGCATTTGGCTCATGGAATCAGGATTGTTTCTACTTTTTAAATCTTGAGTTTGCTGTTTTCAGAGTGGGAGGGGAGTTGCCAGATGTTGAACACGGAAGTTTTTTATGTAGCTTTACTTTCCCGCCTTCCTCTTTCTCCCGGTCTGAAATGACGCAGCTCATTTCAGGAGGTGTAGTGTGTGTTGCTTGTGATGGTGGTGGGCGTGGAGGGTGGGGCGGTGGGAGGGGGATCAAAGCCTGGCAACGATGTGTTGTTCTGCACTAAAACACACACCAGAGGGTAGTAGATCTTGCCAGCACATTGGAGCCAAAGGGGTTTGGCTTTAAATAGAGTCTGCCTGATGCACACGTGTATTGTTCTTGCACAAATAATCTAAGAGCTTTTTTTGCACAAGTGCCCCCACTCCCCTGAGAAAGTCTGGGATCGCTCCACTCCTTCCAAGAATGCAGTGGGCTGAGCTTGTGCAGGACCATTTCCCAGCGCGGTGTCGAGATGGGGGAAGTCCCTTCTCTTGGACTGCAACTCCCAGAATACACCAGGAGTGGCTAAGGACTTCTGGGAAGTGTAGTTCAGAACTACATTGGGGTGCTGTAAATGCTTAATTTGGGGGAGAAACGACATACCCGGAATGTTGAAAGTATTGCACATGTAAAACTTTTTGGCATGCAACCCTGCCTTCATAAATGTTCAGCTTAGCTGTTTCAAAACAAAAGCCATTCAAGAGTCAGCTCTGCTCTCTGAGCTTACCCCATTAATCTTCCATTTTCCCAGATTTGCCCATCTTAGTTTGCATTGCGCTTCCTTTTATGACACGCTCTCTGGCAGCTGGGATGTTTTCCTTAGCTAGAGCAGCTATTCCTCTGAAAAAGACAGGGCAGACCTTTTGGTGAATATATTCGTTGAAATCCCTGGACCGGAACGGTCGGAGAGCTTTTTTGGTGCCATTGACCTGGGGGGAAAGCCTCACTGAAATGGACAGAGGATTGACAAGTAATGCTTTGCTCGAGCTGCTCTCTCCCTGTTTTTAGGAATATTTTACACTCTTTGTATCCGCCGGAAGGTGCCCACCACCCTTCGGAAGAGCTTTTGCAGCCGAAATAAGGCCCGTGAGGAAAATGCTTTGCGGACTCTCCACTCTTTGCACTAAACCAAATGGCACAAGGAAATTTTTTTTCCTTTTAAATTACCTTTTTTTTTTAAATTAAAAAAATGGAAACTGTCCAAGAAATCAAATAGCACCAAAATTGGTATTTGGAAAGGAAAACATTCCCATGTGCACAAGAGGGACTTGGGGTGGGGGGAGACAAATGTCTCTCTTTCCAGAAAACCTGCTCTTGTTTCATTTTTTTCTCCCAAAAAGTGCGGCTTTCTAAAAGGGGTTAGATGGGTGGGTGCATGGGGCAGTCAACATTTTTGCCCACCTTTGCTTTTTTTAAAAGGTCTCTTCTGAGGCAAACCGCATGGGCCCATCTTGGCTCTCCCACACCCACCCCACACACCCCTTTTTTGGGGGACTCGTCCTCCTGGTTACAGCAGCTGCTAGGATAAAAGTCCTCCATGGCTCCTGTTCGTGTCGGGAGATAAATCAACCTTTTCCTCACCCGAAGGCAGCCATCTGCGCGCTTAACCGAGCAGTGCGCCCCAGTGAACAGAAGGGAGCTTACTTTTGGGTAAGCACTAAGCTCATGGTGTTGCGTGGCAAACCATGGTGTATGCGAGTTTGTATGTGTTTCTCTTCAGGAATAGATGCCTATAATGATGCTAAGTACATAAAACCAGCTTTCTGATGTATAAAAAGCTCAGGTGATGGTTATATCAGACTGTATTGAAATTCTGGGTGCCCCGGCAAGCACGAGGAACCTTGTCCATTCTTGCTTTGGTGTACATCATCTGTCGGACAGCGAAGGCTGTTTCTTAGCCAGTGTGTATGCCATCCACGGGCAAAGTTCAGCGTGCTCCAGATCTGGGACTATAAACCTCTCCAGTGTTTGGCACCTGTGGCAGCTGCAGGTTGGCAAGAACATTCGGAGGACCTGCCACTTGGCTTGCCCCCCTTCTGTGTGGGATGGCTCCCCAAAGATGTGCGTCCCGTGGAAATTAATGGGGTTGAACTTTCTCGGCAAGCTTCATTGTTCCTAAGTTTTGTAGAACAACCGCATTCTGAGCTGAAGGCAGTGTTCCCTAAACTGCATTGCGGCACTGTGGGGCACCAGGAAATCCCCCCCTCCTGGACACGCCACTGAATCCACTTGTCCTTTTTCCTCCCATCACCCAAAGTATCGGGGGGCACATGGTTTCAGAACATGGACAGAAGTCATAATGGTATTGCAGCCATAGAGGGATGTGTAGTTCAAGCTTTCACTTCAGCTGAGCTGGTCACAGTTTGAAATTGTTAAACCTTCAAGGTGAGGTCTTTATTTATAATTCGTATCTTAAGTCCTAAGCAAAAGCACAGTTGCTCTTATTGCAACCATCCTGCTCGAAAAGGGAAAGAAAAAAAAAAAACCCAAATACAGTGGGGTCTTGACTTGAGAACTTCATCGGTATTGCAAGGCGGTTCTCAAGTCAAAAAGTCTGTAGGTCAAGTCTCCATTGACCTACAGTGCATTGAAAACGGATTAATCCCGTAAAAGGCCGTTTTTGTTCCATTTTGGTTTTTTTCTGGTCTGTAAGTCAATTCTCAGGCTACAAGTCAAACCTAAATTTTGCGGCCAGAGAAGTCTGTAACTCAAAAAGTCTGCAAGTCAAGCCATCTGTAAGTCAAGGGTCCACTGTAGCAGCCTCTCAAATGATAAATGGGAAGTTGTCTCATTTGGGCAACTTGCTTGGGCTAGTATTATGACTTTTTTTCCCCTTGCAAGTGTACTGGCAATTGTAAAAAGAATACTGTAGCTGTTTAAAGAAGGGAGGAAACCAGTGTCCCTGTTTTTCACACAAGATGGAACAGCTGTGAGTCTTGACAATGCCATATACAATTGGTAGATTTAAATCCCTGTTTCTTCCCCTGCTCTTTGAACATTTTGGTACTTAGTGGGATCTTCCTTGGGTTTCTGAAGATTTACACCCATGCTGGATGGTCAGTGTTGAGCCCATAGCACCCGTGCGGGAGCTCTGGGCAGAAAACAGAACGGGAAGGAAGAGGCTCGAGGTGGTGGAATTAATGGTACAACTTCGAAGCGGACGTTCCGAAGTTATGAATGCTGCTCTTCCTTTCAAAATTGCCTTGCAAGTAGAAAGCTAGCCCAGCAGGGAAGAGGGCCAGGTCAATTCTGTTCTTGTTGCTGTGCTAAATTGCCATTTGCAAGGAGTCTAGGTGCACTGGTTGATATAGCCTGTGCCGTATCCTGCTGTCTGAATTACTAGCATCTGTGCTACTGTTTTCCCACAGTTGCACAGTAAAAGCTAATTTAAGTGTCAGCCTGCTCTTCTAATTCGATGCCTCTTTGCCAGAAAGGATTGGAGAGTGGAGAAGGAAAGGGTTGGGAGGGGATGGTGGCCACCACACCTTGGTTAATTGAGGTTTTTTTATGCCAGAATTATGCACCCAGACTGTCCGTTCCTCCCCCTGCACCAAAATGCTCTTCCATTACACAAATGTGACTGTATCAGAAACCCTGAATATAGCAGTGAACATCCTTTTTGCATTAGCGATCTAAAAAAATAGATCGCTATGTGGATTCGTCGTTAAACGGTGCGCTCGTTATGCGACGCACCACTGTACTGTTTAAAAGTAGCAACCCTAAAACAT